CATTGGAGCACTGTTCAACCCAAGCACCGCCTCTCCCGCCAGTCCGCCTCGGGCGCCGCCGCCGCGGGGCCCGCCGCGCCCCCGCCCGCGCTCGCGCCCGCCGCCGCCGCTGACGCCGCGGCCGAAGAGCTCGCAGAGCCGGGCGCGTTCGACGCGCTGCTCCCGTCGCCCGGCGACGGCGCGGACGCCGCCGACTCCGCGCCCTCCGGCGCCGGCTGGGCGGGACCGGTCGTGATGGAGGCGACTCAATATGACATGGCCGCCGAGGCGCCGTCGGCAGCTGCCGCGAAGCTGCACCACAAGATCCGCGGCGGCGGCGTGACGGGGGCGGCGGTGCGGCGGTATCTGGAGTCAAAGCGGATGCTGACCGCGCCCGGCGGCGCGGCGGCCGGCGCGGGGGCGGTGGTGGCTTGGAGGGGCGAGCAGCCGAGGGGGGCGGGGCGCGTGGCGCTGAGGCTGCTGGAAGATGAGCAGGCGCTGGAGCCGGGGTCGAGGATCAAGGTCGAGGTGTACTGCAAGTGAGCGCTGCTGCGTGGGCGCGGCGCCGCGTGTTTTGGGCTGCTGCTTTTTGGGGTGCCGGAGGCATCGCGGGGGACTTGAGTGTGCAACTGGGTGCTTGGTTCGTACATGCACACGCCGACATGCGCGTGCGTGTGTGTGCATGTGTGTGTGTGTGTGTGTGTGTGTGTGTGTGTGTGTGTGTGTTGAGGGATCGAGGGAGGCGTGTGCGCGCGCGCTCGGCGTTTCGGATGATGGTTGTCAAGCAGTTGATGCCATACGCCCCTGATCAACGTAACCCACCACCCTCCCCTCCCAGCCTCCCATTCCAATGGCCGGCCCCGCCCGCCGGCGCCGCCGCGCCGCGCCCGCTGCTGAGTCAGCTGGTGCACGTGTCGGCGAAATTCTGGGCGCAGCTGCACGAGGCAGTGTACGCCTCGCCCTGCGGCCTGGCCACAGCGGCGGCCGCCGTGGCCGCAGCCGCGGGCGCGCGGGGCTGGGGGACTTTGCCAGGCGAGGATCCTTCACAGCCGCGCGTGTTGGCGCTGGCTGCCCATGTCTGCGCGGTGAGTGCCCCCGGCCCGGGCTGCGGGGCGGCCACATGGCATGTGTCGCCGCCAGCGGGCCATGGGGCAGCGCCCACCTCTCCCCCGCCGCCCGCCCCCGTCCCGCGCGACCGCCGACGCGGGCGGCGGCACCGCTGCACCGCCGCTCGCAGCAGCGATGCCAACCGGGCGTGTCGGCCGGCCGGCGACCCAAGGAGGGCCCCGCTCCTCGCCTCTGTCGCATCTCAACACCCCTCCGCCCGCGCCCGCTCGTCTGCCCCTCACTCCCCGCCTCGCCCCGCCGCAGGTCTTCGAGGCCGCCCTAGCGCAGGGCCTGGTCTGGCAGCACGCCCGCGACGCCGACGGCGGGGAAGACTGGCTCTGCTTCAACACCGGCCTCTCGCGCCACCCCGACGGCGGCAGCGGCGGCGGCGGCGGAGAGGGCCAGGGCGTCGTCGCATTCCTGCAGCGGCGCGCGTGGCGGCAGCGGGACGCCAAGCAGCGGGCGCTGGCACCCTGGGTGATGTCAAATGACGTCATGCCATGGGAGCGCGTGCTGGGGCACACAGGCGGCGCAGGGAACGTGCCGCCGCCGCCGCGGGCCCAGGTGGCGCTCGCCGGCGGCGCCGGCGG